TAATGGAGTCTAAAAGTGGGAAAAGAAGTCTAGTAGTAACAAATCCTTGTTCTACGAATCTCCTCAATAACAAAGAACTATGAAGCTTGTATTTATGCTGCAAGTGTATTGCTCGAAATTCATATTTCATATTTGAAATGGTGAAGGTGATTAGTGATGTCATTGACACTTTTTTTGCCTTTTCGTATTGATCCTTTCCCAGATTGGTTTTTATACTTTTGTTTGCTTTGTGATATTGGGAGTCACGCTAAGAAGATAAACTTCATTTGTTCATCATGGAAGCCATTTGAGCCCCCACTAGATCTTAGCCTGGGTACCAATATTTGTGCAGAGCAACACTAAGATAACATCAAAACTAGAGATGGAAGATTGGACTCCTAAGAACATGTTAAAGCAATAGGCAAGGAACATGAAAATGGTACCCCTGGGGCATGTGTTGTCTATAAGGTCTTTCTATTATCTCCTTTACTCTTATACATCAAGATGACAGGTTCCTTTTACTAAAAGTTTGGGATTATTTCATACCTTCATGTAGTGAGTTGTAATATTCGATCAGCTAGTTCCATTTTTCTTTGGATCCTTGTAATAACTGATTCTGACATATGTGATTGCGATTGTGTTCTCATTGCAGGCTTATAAAACAAAGTACACGGTGAAGATGATGATACTAAGATTGAAATGAGGATCACTCAGGAAAATGAAGATTAAGATCGAGTCAAAGACCTGAAGGAATTATAGAACAACGCTAAATAATATGATAGATATATGTAATAAATTAAAACAATAGATTGAATTATATATTTATTGTAATAATTTTATATGTTGTTTTTGTTTCTTTTTGTTGCATTGTATATGTTGTTTTTTGTTGCATCGTGTTGCTAATTGTTGCATTATGTTACTTTTTGTTGCACTGTGTTTCTTATTATTGTTTATTTAGAATTTTGCTATTTATTTAGATTTCTGTTCTTTTTTGTACATAAAATAGAAATATCTAGATGGATTTAGATACAAGCACTAAAAACTAAAAATGTTAAATTTTGTTTATGAATTTGAAAAAAAAAAACAGAAACATAAAGAAACAATAAAAAACAAAAAATTCAGAAATGGCAACAAAAAGAAACACAAAGAAACCATATGCAACAAAAACTAAAAATAAAATGATAATAATATAACAATTAAAAATTTAGTACAGAGTATAAGACTTGCATATCTATTTTACCGCTTACACAGTGACATGGTTGTATTATCTTAATCAATCCAACTCAAAACTGGTCACATAACACACGTACAAATTTCTTGGGTAAAGTGCATTATTATTCATTACCCTCAATGACTCTATTCATAAGGAGATGGTTCCATCTCTCCGTCAACTTTTTCGTCAACTTCCCCATTAGCCTGCTGCATTGGCAAAGGAGGCCGGGGCAGGCAAAACATGTTGTATTGTCTTGACCAGTGTCATCTACGGTGCTTCACTCTCTTCCTCATCATCAGTTGCCTCACTTCTCGGACAACGAACATCATATTCCTCTATTATCGAGTAAATTTGAGATAGAGTATATGATCTAACATTGATGATGTTCAAAATTTCAGCTTTTGATATATTAAAGCGCATCATTTTTCTACAAATTGATTAATAATTTCTCTAGTCTAATTACTGTACACAACAATTTGTTCTAAATAATCAAAAACCTTAAACTCAGATGCCAAAATTGGGAGCATGACACGTGCAACACCCTTTCCCGTTCCTTTTGATCTTAGAAACTCAAGCACCTCAACATTGGTGAGTGCACCTTCATTTGCTTTAAGCATCTTCATCACCTAAAAGCATAAAACAATACTTTGACACCTTTTAACTTTTTTTTTATTTGTTCTTCAAATCCAATTATCAGGAAGAAAAATTGTGATGCCCAGGGGTTAAGCCGATAACGGAGATACAGAAGGCAGCTGCTCAAACAGAACTGCAACAAAGTGAGAAGTGAAATTGAGAGAATCACACTGCCACGCATAAGGGGCGGCGCGCGGCTACGGCGTTTGGGGCTGTGGCGGCGTAGAGAACGGCCGACTACGAACTGCGACTCTGGCCAACTGGGACTGCGTCCTTGCGAGTCGCCGGAGTAAACTGGTGCGATGGATTGGGTTACATGGAGTTCTTCACGGGGTTCGCTGGATTGGGCGTTCTATTGTGAAAGAAAAGTTCAGCGAAATCTATTTTTGAAAAGATAAGCGAGCAACGACAAAACTGATATTTTTTTTTGGCTATTTGTGATAAATTCCCTTTTATATACTCGAAAGCTCCTGTGTGGGCCTGTGGGGCAAATATATACAAAAAGGATACCGAAAAAGATCATATTTACTAGGGGTGGGCAATTCGGTTTACGGTTCGGTTTGGTTAACCCAAACCGTTATGCACACCCCTACTATTTACACAAAAGTACACAACCAATTAGAGCTCTTTTGAGGTTTAGTCTCGTAGATCCAAAAGCCCAACACACGCTTTGGATATTAAGGATGTTTTCTCGGTTAAAAGATGTATAAAATATAAAACAGTGAATTAAGATTTAACTCAGAAGCTAACTTGTATTACGTAATTCTGTGATTACACTGAAATTGCCCGAACGGTACGGTGGGTCAGTATGAGTTCAAATACAAGAACAAGAGTGATGATTCTATTGCTAAGCTCTGAGTATGAAATTGCTAACTCTTTACAATGTATTCAAGGCGGGTATTTATACTAAGAGGGGGTGGGTGATATGGGCACGTGGCCGAACCCGGTAGGCTGTTACCTCTGCCATGAGCGCACCCATGCCTCTACTTGCTATTGCCATATTTCAGCATTAAATGCGGTTTCCACTTGATGACTACCCGTCCGGGTAGCGCATTCGGTGTGCGGAACCCCCTTTTGTGGGTGTTTGGATGTCAGTACTCTGTTGATTATCTCAAGTGAATAAATCAACCCGAATGCTGTTCAGGTACTCTCCCGTTCGGGATGTCTTGGACCTTTCCGGTTGTGTTGGGCTTCTTGTTTGCCCTGGGCCTCCTTTATGCTTTGGGCTTGGCATATTGGGCTTGGGCCCAATACCCCAACAAGCTCGTTTGGTGGTGTTGAAATTGGCTGAATCGGTTGATTTCGCTGAAATTTATAAAGTTCTGGTTGAAGTAGTTGTATTGGCTGATTCTAGTGATTTATGAAAAAATTATACTACGTATTTTATTAATAAAATCAAGAAAAATTATATGAAAAATTTCTAAAATGGTCGTCTACAGTAACTTCAGCCAATACAGTCATAAACGTAACTCCAACCATACTTTTTCTTATTATTACACAATTCAGCGCGCGCAATTAAAAGTTACATGTTTAGTTAAAAAAATGATTGTAACGGAACAAACGAAGAGAATGCAAGGGAGGAGTAGTATTGGAGATGCATCAATTTGGTAAAGCAAGACAAGTAGTAATGGAACAAAAGAATTTCTTTATATAACTTAATGAAAAGTTATTTTTAAAAAAATATATACTCAATTGATGTTTTAGGTGCAGGTTGAGATGATTAAAAATTCAGTGGAGCTACGGTAAAATTATTATGTACAACCTATTGAAAATAATACAAAATATGGCTTTTTAACAAAAAATATCTGTAGGACATGGAAGGGAGTGAACAAGTGAGACACCAAGACACCCATGGCAGACACGAAGCAACATTGAATGCAACCTATTTGTTCTTAATAGTTTCTTTAATCCATCAATTGATTTTATGTTTGGTGATATATAATGTCATGTGATTTTGTATTGTAATGGATAGAAGAAGAGATAAGCATCACACTTATGCACCGGTAGATGCATCAGATGCAATAGCAAATTGCAGCGGGAGAAGAGAATTGCATGCAAGACCCTACTTAAAGATGACTATTGATCCTTCCAAATGTATCACAACTATTAAACATGCTGCAATTGCATGTTTTTTGTTAAGGAAAAAGACTAATATGTAATTTAAAAGGAATTGAAATTGCAACATCCTTTTTCTAACTTCATATTACATCTCATTTAATTTCATGTTTGTAGGAATGAGATTGTTTTCAAAATGTGTGGCGAGTTGGTGAGCTTAAAAGAAAAGCCCCATATTTGTGGAGAATACTGCAAGCAATGTGTGGCGACATGGTGAGCTTAAAAGAAAAGTCCCATATTTTGGCGGATATACTAAATCCCTAGGTTTTCATTTGCATGTATTGTACTCCATACTATTCTTGTAAATTTTGTTTTAATACAGCATTTAATTTTTTTCGCTTCCGTGTATCACCAAAAACATTCCCTGACACATAAAAAAGCGTTAAGGACTTGGTAAATTTCTTGACACACTTATAAGTCAACAAAAAATGTAAAGGGATTTGCCAACACATGTTTGAGTGTGAAGAAAGGTTTATCCTAACATTGTTTCTAGTGACACTTTTAGTATGTTGGCAAATCCTCTTAGAGGTCTAATTGCCACGACTTTCACCTTTTTTGACACATTTTGTTTGTCATAGAATGTCAGTTTGCTTGTAGTGTTTCGTGACGATTTTAGATCTCAATTAAGAATCTTACATTCTTACTTCATATTATAGATCTATATATTGGTGGCATATAGTATGATCATTGTACATTATAATTGACTTGTTCAATAATATTTCTGAAACGTTTAACAAATATTATCCTTCGCTTCATGTTAATGTAAAGTGATTATTTATATTTTATCTTTTAATTTCACACTTCACTGCAAGTGATCTCCATTCATAATTAATATTTAACTTGGAACTCACATTTAAAGAGTAACCTTCATTTTGAGAGAGTTTATATTACTAGTTATACAACTGATTCGATCTATATAGGTCAATATATACACCAATACATTTTTAGACCCAACACAACATTAAATATGTAACATATCTGTAAAAGTGTTACATATTTCTCTAATGCAACACTTTTTAGACCTAATGTGACACTTTCTAGAAGTATAAATGTTATATTAGGGACTATATATAAAGTGTTACAATAGGTCTAATGCAACATGAGCGAATGTAATGGTAAAAAAGTGTTACATTTTCTGTAATGTAACACTTTCCAGTAATATTGTAACACTTTTGGGTGATACATTAGGGGTTAAAGTGTTACATAAGGTAAAGTCATAAAGATCGAGATCATATCTAGAGGTTAAACAAGTATTCTCCAGTACAGTCAATACGTAGTTAAATCTATATGTCTTGATTAATTCTACTCTCCATCTCTGTTGTACCACATATTTGGGCAGGGCTGATTTACTTTAAGTAAGTCATTACTTTCTCAACATCAGATCTCTGGAAAGGCTTAAACAGGAAATCTTTAGCTCCTCCTTCCAAGCACCTGCAGTTTGTTGTTGCACAAATTAGTATGAAAAATACAATTGTAGTTCTTATTTACATTTACTGGCACAATTTTAAATTAATTCAGTACATACTATTTAAATTTATATTAGTACTAGTATTACTTATTTGTAATCAAACCTAAGATAGTTAAATATTACACTACAAATTCTATGAAAATGAAAAAAATGAATTTAAATGTAAAAAATTCGTTATTATGAAAATTAAGGCAAAGCGAGATGATTTACACTTTTACCAGATATTTATAGGAGCACTAATTCAGAATTGGGAGACGTTTCTCTAAGATAGATTTTTCACTAAATAAAAGAACACTAATGTAGTTTACAAATATCAGATATCAGGGATTTATTTCTTAAAACAAAACAAAATAATCCAACATCAATTCTAACCTTTATTTTTTAACAAAGTTTTTTTTTTTTTATAAAAGATGAAATATAAAAAAATTATAATTAATTCTTAACAGTAACACTTTTTTTTATCAAGAACAAATAACTTACCATGAGTCAAACATTTTAAATCGAAATTTCAATATTTAACCGGGGCACTGAGAGGAAAAACTAACATTAAGTAATGATGGAGTAAGAGTTTCAATTATTGGGTCATTCTTGGCATACATAAAAAGTATACAAAATGCGTACATTATACCTAGGTACACAGGCACTTAGAAGGGTTTTAACATCAAATTTTGTCCCCTTTTAAACAAATTACTAATGCACACTTATGTATACTAAGAAACTTTCTTATCTTAATTATTTGCGGAGTAGAGTATAATGATGGAGAGAAGGTAATTACTCATCAACCATTCTTGGTGTACACGTTTTTGTACCCATCAGTACACGCATGTGTCTGTGAGAGTTTTTTTTTGTCTGTGAAGCGCGGTCCACAGACATAAGTTCGCTTGTTTTGTCTGTGGAAAATTTCACAGACAAAACAAACCAGCTTTTGTCTGTGGACCACATTTCACAGACAAAAAAAAACTCTCACAGACACATGCGTGTACTGATGGGTACAAAAATGTGTACAAAAGGAATTTTTGAATTACTCATTGACTCGACTAGGAAGATTCTCTGATGATAGTATCACAACTGGTATTTCCTTCAGCTTAGGAGATTCCTGTCATTTCAATATAGGCTAGCTTAGCTTGTATCACAGTTTACATAAATACGGAGTATGTATAGTACAGAAAATCGTGCAAAAGTTATTGATACCTTGACTTTCTGAAGCAGTTGGTAGCCAGTCATCTCCGGCATGCAATAGTCAGTCACGATTAAGTCCACCTTACGCTCCTGCATTTTATTAAATTCGGCGAATAAATAACATGCTACATGGATCCATCCACTTCACAAATTAAGTACCAAGTCATTTGTTTTTAAAAGGAGGTACGAGTTAGATTGATACTCGAAATTACATAAAAAGGGTCAAATAAGTCTTTATATAAGAGTCTATGTCCGGACATCGTCAATTGGGGCGGTTCCCGGTGGAATTTTTGACAAATTTTTTTGAGCATCTTATTATTAAATCTAGTTTACTCATATCAAATTTTAACTAAAAATTTAACCGGGAAGGCATTCAAATTTAACAGTCTAGTTAAATACGCAGTTAAAATTCTCGGTTGAATTTTAACTGCGTAGTTAACTGCCTCAAATGGCGACGGCCGGACAGTAAGGACTTATTTGACTCTTTTTATGCAAGTTTGAATACCAATTTGACTCTTACCTCTTTTTAAAAGAGACTTTCCTTACTAACCCCCAATTGCAAGAATAAAAGCAGTAAAAATATTGCTTATGAAAAACTTAATGATGGTCAATTGTTCATATCTGGAAAAATTACAAGCATGCGAGTTATTTCTCTTGAGATGAGGTTTAATCCCAAAATCTCCTTGTGATATAGAAAATCGGTGCATGAGCTCCTATGGTTGAGAAAATGCGTCAAACTCCTATGTGTTATTGTTATTAAAATGTGCAGAATCCCTTATTTGAACAAGTTTAATTGTCAAATAAAAGAAAAATAATTAACATTTTTGTATAATTTGAAGTTTTTGACAAATTTACTTGAATATTGAATCATACGGAGTATAATATTAAGAAAAATGATTTTAAAATTGTTAAATTTATTCACAAAAGGGTTCTGCGCATGTATAATACAGGGGGCTTGATGCATTTTTAAATCACATGAGGTTAATGTATACCTCAAATTAATGTACTGAATTGCTATATCAGGAGGGGTTCCATGCATTAACCACATGAAACGGAGTATTATTTGAATAGTATACCTCACCAATTCAAAAAGGTGAAATCGCTGTCGGGTATTGATTCTGAAACCTCAACTCATTTGCCTCACTTAATTTGAGCTACCATGCAGTGTTAAGATCTTTAATGTTGGTTTGAGAATTGGGTTTAGAGTTTTAGAAAGGACGACTCTTGATTGCTAAATATACATAGTAATAATAATAAGTATAATGATTTGGACCAATCAAATACATAATAGGTACAGTACCTCATTTTTTAAATGGGTTTCGGAGTTGTCACCTAATAATAATCATATACTCCGTACATAGTCTATCCCTTCCAATGCATGTATAAAAAAAAAGTCATTTATACAGTTCAGACTTTAAATAGAATCCAATAAAGAACATCAACTATGGTAATAAACTACTCGTATTTTAATTGCATGCACTAAATTTAGATGCGGGTAAGAACTTTAATTTGAGTTGAGTTTTTACTTTAATGAGTTTTATCCTAATTATAGTTAGTCTCAGACCATACCAGACTTAAACAGACCAGATCAGATCAGACTTGGATAATTATAAAATACACAGAGACCAAACGTTTACCAGACCAGACAAGTTCAGACCAGATCAGACCAGACCAGCAAATTTCAGTCCAAAAGAAAACATCCTAAATTTAGAGTTTGGCTCTTACCATATTATCCAGCAATTCGAGTGCCCGCGGTCCACTATCAGCGACGGTCACTACAAGATAAATACACCAAAACACTTCATATTACTATTTATATCTAAAACATAAATTTATTTACTTCCCCCGTTTTGATTTCTTTGACACGCTTTCCTTTTTTGGACATTTCAAAATTAATGTTACATTTCCCATTTGTTAAACAAAACAGTGCAAAATAGTGCCAAGCAGTGTCACAATGTTCAAACAGTGTCCAAACAGTAAAATTTACCTCCCAGTAAAAAAATCCTTAATCTTTGGAAAGACAAACTATGTCAATGAAATTGAAACGAATGGAGTATATTGGACTAAAACATAAATAAAGTGCAAATGTACAGTTGTCGTTTTTTCTTTAAATAAGACTTATTGACTCCTAATAGGGAAAATCTTATACGAGTACTTTTAATAGGATCAAATGAGTCATATCTCGGAAATAAAATACTCCGTATATGTAATCCTATTTTTGCATTTTGTCTAAATTTTAATCATATTTAGAGTAATTTCTATATATCGTATTACTCCGTAATATATACTACGTATATAGATATATATAAATCTACACTATAACACACATTAGTAAGAAGTTAATATTAGAGTATCATGTTTTTTATTCTCTAAATAGGAGTAAATTTCTGCCAAGTTTGGCATTACAAGGCTTTTAACATTGCATTTTTTTCCAAACTTAGCAGATTACTCCTATTCAGGAAATAAAAAACACGATACTCCTATTTTGGAATTTCAAAACGTTTTTACTCCTATTTAGTGCAATTTCTGTTAATATTATCTTTAAAATATATATGTACAGACGACTTATTCCACAATAAGAGTATTTACTGTTTCCACACCGAAGGTAAACAGAAAAACAAAAATAAATAAAGGCAAGGATATTAAATCTTATGACACAATTTAATTATTAATGTTAAAAAGATATCAGAGAGAGTAATAAGAGACCATTTTCCATTCCCCAAGACCCAAGTAATAAGAGTAATAAGTCATCATTCTTTTAAAATTAGACTCTTATGCTTTAAATAAATACGTAGTACGTTTTGCATTTACCTACTACATTTTCTTGGATCATCACCAAAATAGTCATATTTTGAAAATAAATACTAGTAAAATTATCATATTTTGTTTAGAAGAAAACTGTAGGTTGCAATTCACTATGAAGCACGGATACTTCCCTAGGGTAGCGTATCGGCGTATCCGATACGTTCCCGTATCCGATACTCTAGGATACCCGTACCGTACGTTCCCGGGCCGTATCTGCAATTTTTTAAAAGTTTCCATTTTTTTTGTAATTTTTTGAAAGTTTCCGATACTCGTATCCTGACGGATACCCGTATCAACTTTTTAAAAAAAAAATCCCAAAATTTACTTAATAAAATTCTAAAAAAAAATGAAAATCTAAAACTACATTTTACTTGGTAATCAAATAATGGGCCTATATGGCTATATCCGAATTAAGTCATTAACTCATACTCCGAATTGGGTACTTGCACTTTTAATTTTAAAATTGTAGTTGTTTGACTTATTTCTCATTTTAAATTAATGACTATTGACTACATTTATATTTCGAGATGCACTAGTGTATATGAGAAATATTATGAATTTATTACTAAGTATCTTGAAAAAGGAAAATGCTTCAATGCAATGAATGGGTAGACATCATAGGATATTATATGTATATATATATATATATATATATATATATATATATATATATATATTCAAAAAAATCTATTTTTAATATTTATAAATAGACCCCTATAACTTTTAATATTTGTAAATACACCCCCATAACTTTTAATATTTATAAATATGGTCCCGTATCTGTATCCTACTTTTTTTGGTTTTGACGTATCCCCGTACCCGTTTCCGCGTTTCCGCGTACCGGTATCGGTGCTACATAGGTTGCAAATAAATGTAAACGTATCGAGTAAAAAAAAATTGTTCTGCACTTCATATTTGTTTTTCTAATTTATTAGCCATATATCTATAGTATCTGAAAAATATAAAAGTTGCTACAAAAAATAAAAGAACCATAGAGGCTACAGCCACAATATAAATATGAACCTACATAATTAAAGATTACATACTACCTTTAATGGAAGAGGCTTGAAAAATCCTCTCAATGAGCTTGCGTTCTGATGGACTGTCATCCACAGCTAGCACGTGGGGCTGCGCCATTGATGATGATGATGAACCGGAAGAGGCTGCTGCTTTCATTTTTTCTGTTTCTTCAGCTGGTCTCAAAATTTAAAAGCAATTAAGCTTAGCTTATGATTAATATATAAGCTTATAATTTACTATAATCCGTACTAGTTATCTGAGAGAGATGAAACAAAGCAGCATAAATCGCTATATATATAGAGAGAGCTAGGGAGGTGATGGGGGTGGGGAAAGAATCGGGAGAAAATCGGGGGCAGAGATATTCTGCGATCTTTATCGGTCACTGCATGGGATTCCTTTAGCATTGCAGCCAATCCTCTCTTCTTCTTTCTGCACTCCGATTCTTATCCTTTCCTATATTCGTCACATTACGTATACTAGCTAGCTAGTACGACGTAGATCGATTTAATTCGTATGTATATATCAGTTCAGTACATGCGTCGAATAATACATACATACAGATAAGAGAGTAATTAAGACATATAGTAGCTCTAGCTAGCTATAGCTAGCTACTTATATACTACCTCCGTCCCTAAATGTTCTTTCTAAATAAAGTGGCACGCTAATTAAGAAAGTGGGAATTGTGTGGTGGAGAGTTGTGCAGAGAAGAGAGAAATGTTGTGAAGCACAAATTATTTGCCAAAAAGAGAAAGTGAAGTTCTTTTTGGGACGGACGAAAAGGGAAAGTTGGAAGTTCTTTTAGGGACGGAGGAGTATATACGTATGTATGTCTATGCTATATGCGGCATATATCCCTAGCTAGCTACTGCATGGATATGCTCGGTCTTCGGATCAGATCAGCTTCCACGTTCCCACCTCACCAAACCGTTGAACCTTTATCTTTTTGAAATTGATGTATGTTTGTGATTTTGTATGTATGTGCCCGCGGCTATAGCAGAGGGGTTGGAACTTGGAAGGGTTGCCACCAAGAGAAATTTTCAAATGTAAATGTACATGTACTTCGTATAAATTATCTATATCAGACTATATTCTACTCCCTCTGTCCTCCTAATTAATGTTTTCACTTCAAATTACATATGAGTACATATTATATTAAGGATGTTTTCTTTTGGAATGAAATTTGTCGGTCTGATCTGGTCTGGTCTAGTCTGAATTTGTCTGGCCTGGTCTAGTCTGAATTTGTTTGGTCTGGTCTGGTAAATGTCTGGTCTCTGTGTATTTTATAACTACGGAAGTCAGGTCTGATCTGATTTGATTTGATCTGATCTGATCTGGGACTGAAAACAATAAAAAAGAAAACATCCCAAGAAATTGACATTTTTGACATTGTTTAGACAACGTTTGCTATTTTTACTTTTTTTATTATCAAAAAAGAAAAGAAGACTTTTTAAAGGACGTTCAAAAAAGGGAAAATGAGAACATTAATTACGAACGGAGAGAGTATCAAAATAGAAAAATAAAATCCATTAATATTATTTTTTAAAATATGATGGACAAATATACTCCGTATTACTTAGTACTCCAACCATTAATTTGCTTGGTTTGAAGTTCAAACTTTACTTGTAATTAATAATATGTTAATTTGAACATAATTATAGTCACTAATAGTTACCCCAACCATCCCACTAACTATGAGAAAAGATGGAGTGACACGCAAATCAATAAAATGTGGTTTATGCGGTTGATATAAAATTGATAAAGTAAGAATATGATTTAGAGTCACATAAATTTTATCAAATTTGGCATGAGATAATCTTAGTGGGACGGACCGAAAAGGTAAAATGAGACAATCTTAGGGAGTGTTTGGGCGATTGCTTCATCTTTAAAAAGGTGGGTTTTTTGAAGTAATTTTAGAGAAAGTGCTTAATAGTAAAAGTTGATAGTTTAAGAAAAATGTGTTTTTGTTTAATAGAAAAGTGAAAAGCACTTTACAGCACCTTTCAACCCGCTTCTATCTTTTACTCCAACTGTTAAGTGCTTAATTTAAGTAGCAGTTATCACTCTAAAACACTCCTTTCATATTTTTTTAAACCAGCATCTGAAAAGCACCTTTTTAATTTCTTGTGAAGATTCTCTTAGCGGCACGGAGGAAGTACTAAGTTATACGGAGTACTACGTAGTATTTTGGGTATGACTTTTTTATTAGTAAATTAAACCTTGTTGAGTAAGTTACCCTCAACCTATTTAACAGAAATATATAAAACTCAAACAAATAATTTTTGAACTTCTTACACTCCGGATATTATTACTACTTGCCTTTTATTTTGCTTGGTTTGACGTACAAATATTAATAATATGGTTGAAAGAATAAGGGGTGTGGTTCAAATTTGAAAAAATTAAAATAAAATGATATGTACCTTTATTATGAATCCATTTGGTAACACCGAAATCAGTTGAATCGATTGATTCTGCTGAAATTTATGAAGTTCTGGCTGAGGTGGCTGTATTGACTGATTCTGATCTGCTGAAATGGTCATGTACAACAATTTCAACCAATATAGTCAGAAAAGTAAATCAACTTTACCTTTTTATTAAACAATTCAGTGTGCGAAATCAAAAGTTATGTGTCTGGTTAAAATGTAGTCCGATAAGTCTGATGACTAATAAGCCGAAAAGTAGAATCACCAAACGGGGTTCTATATATCATTGTCTATTCCCGTGAGCACACACTCAAGCACTCTCACTAAAAGTAATAATTTGAATATTTCTATGTTCATTAATAGGATGTAAAACTAAACTCAAGTAATTAATTTAATTAGTTACTTCTTTGTTCTTATATAAGTTTTATTTTTTACATCCTATAAAAAGGTCAGATAGGCCTCAAACTTACATAAAAAGGTCAAATAAGCCCTTATATAGGAGGCTCTATCTGGTCGTCGCCATTTGGAGCGTTTCTCGGTGGAATTTTTTGATGATTTTTTTTAGCATCTTATTCATTAAGTCTAGTTTACTCATACTATATTTCAGCTAAAACTTCAACCGGGAAAGCATTCAAATGAATTCTTGAAGATAATTGCGCAGTTAAAAGCGCAATTGTCTTCAAGAATTCATTTGAATGTCTTTCTGATTGAATTGTTAGCTGAAATTTAGTATGCGTAAACTAGACTTAATGAATAAGATGCTTAAAAATTTTTATCAAAAAATTCCACCGGGAACTGCCCCAAATGGTGACGGCCGTACAGAGCAACCTACATAAGGGCTTATTTGACCTTTTTATGTAAGTTTGAGGACCTATTTGACCGTTTTACCTTTATTTTTTGTCAATGTGTTTATGATTTAATGAAATTAATTAATTACTGCTGTCCTTTCAAAATAGATATCACGGGTTTAAATTCCATTCTGATCAAGAAAGTTATATTATCATTGAACATAGTGTCTATAGTACTAAGTATGATACGTTAAAAGTCGTCAAAATCCAAACTAGATACGCATGTATGGCCTAATACGATTCCGGTTTCCCTTTATGTGATCCAAAATTAAAGCGGACGAATAGCGAGGCTGGGTTCGCCTCCAGCCAGCATAGTAGGTGCATGTGAGTGAAGTTAGAGAGTGTTTGCAACAACTAAAAAAAGCATTTTCAGCTTTTAATTTAAAAAAATACTTATTTATCAAGTAATACTAATTTTTACTTTTTCTCGACTTGCGTGTGAAAAGTGTTTTTCCCTTTTCTATTACACAAAAAATACTTATTTTACCAAACATTACCAACTTTTACTTTTCAAAATCACTTTTTTCTCAACCACTATCAACTTTTACTACTAATCACTTTTTCCTTACATCTCCAAAAGTGTTTTTTTAAGCAGAAGTAGTTGCAAACACTCTCTTAAATCAATCCTCCGGAGGATACTGCTACTCGTTACTTGCTCAAAAGTCGCGGTCATTGTTTCCAAGGTTGCCTCAAGGCCCTCAACCCTATGGGGTTCTTACGTCCCCACCCAACACAAAATATGAAGAGTTGTAAATTATTGTAACTTAGTTAAGCATAGATGCTAAATCAGTGCTCGTTGTGCACAAAGAATCCATCTTACATTGAGAAGTTACTTTCATACCCCTGCTAGCGAAACTCGATCTTGAGGCACTTGCTCTGAATTTAGGGAGTGTTTGCAAATGCTTCAACTTTAAAAAAGTGATTTTTTCAAAGTGATTTTGGAAAAGTGATTAATAGTAAAAGTTGATAGTGTTTGAGAAAAAAGTGATTCTGAAAAAGTAAAAGTTGGTAGTGTTTGGTAAAATAAGTACTCCCTCCGGTTTTTAATAAACTTCACACTTTCCTTTTTGGGACGGTCTAAAATAAACTTCACACTTCCTTATTTCCTTTTTTGGCAAAGAAATCTACATCAAAACAGTGCCAAACAGTGCCGAACAGTGTCTCAACAGTGTCAAACAGTGACTCTACAGTGCCAAACAGTGTCAAACAGTGCCTCAACAGTGTACTCTACAGTAAAGTCAAATTTCTTTCCTTATTTTGTGTGAAGTCAAACTGTGAAGATTAAAAAAACCGGAGGTAGTACTTTTTTTGTAATAGAAAAGGTGAGAAGCAGTTTAAAGCACCCTTCTACCTGCTTCCAGCTTTTAGCTTTTAAGTGATTAATTTAAGCAGAAGCTGTCATTTGAAAACACTCTTTTCAACTTTTTTAAGCCAAAAGCTGAAAAGTACTTTTTTTAAGCAACCCCAAACACTCCTTTAGTGCTGTGATCAACTCAGCTGTTCATGCATGTTTGATGTTTGTTTTTTCTTTCAGTAACTTTAATTTTTAGCTTATGAGTCTTATCTGTAAATTATTTTATCAAATACTACCACCGTCTCTCGAGATAAAGGAGAGCGATGGGGTTTTTAAGAAAAGTAAAGTTATGTGAATGACAATGAATTGAGAAGTGAGAATAAAATAAGAATGAATTAAAACCACACAAATATTTAATAAATATGATATGAGACAAATATAGTTTCTGATTTCACATTTTAAATTGTGTAACAATCAAAACAAATAAGGTAACAATTGCTTTGTTGTTTAAGAGGCCGTTTGACAACACTGTTTTTCGGCTTATATATCAGACTTATCAGCTAATTTTTTCACCAAACACGTAACTTTTGCTTTCGCGCGCTAAATTGTGTAATAAGCAGAAAAAGTGAGGCTGAAGTTACTTTTCTGGCTGTATTGACTGAAGTTACTGTAGATGACCATTTTAGCTTTTTTTACATATAATTTTTTCTTTATTTTA